AAGCATGCTATTTACAGGAAAGCAAGAGAACTTTCCAGGTAAGGGTTAGCAAACCCTCAGCAAAGGTCTGGAATTGAAAATGACTGTTCGGAAAAAGTACAGAAACAAGTCATTCAGTGGCACAGTCAAACCTAGACTTGATTGAAATATCTATTTTTAACACTTTGGAGGTCACCAGTCTCAAATGTCATGAAAAAAAGTGTAAAACCTGGTTGGATGCAAGCTGATCATATTAGGGACTTCTTGAAGTATTTGAATTAGCCCTCGTTACCTAGTCGTAAATAAAGTTCTTGTAAGTATTTAGTATCTAAAGATTATTGCTTGTCAAGGAGCAATCTCTGATTACATTTTTCAAGTTTGATGAACTGATGAAGGTCTCGGACCGAAACGTTTTGTATTAAACTTTTTAGACTTTTTATTGAGTATATGTCTTCCTTCGCTCGAAGTTGTCCGTCCTCGTGTGCCACACCACTTCTCCTACCATTTATCGAGGTTTGGACAGTGAATCCTTTTGGATCCTTCTGGCGCGGCGTCACTGTTGGCTCGAGGCCTTTTAACTTATTATATATATATATATATATGTGTGTGTTCAGCGAATTTCACTGCAATACAGTTATGCGCAGACGTCCTAACTACAAGAATGCAAAACGCTCGATGGAAACATTTTCTACATGAACAGGAAAGAAAACTTCTAAAGTCATGTAAATGCCGACAATATTTTGCTGCGTCCAATTTGGTGAATAGGTGTGTTAACCCTTAAAGCTCCCAAGATCTGCTAATCAATTCTTGCCTCTCAGTAGCTGTTACACATTTCCTTGAATTATATAATTATCAGTTTGGAGAATTTGGTGTTAGATCAAGATAACAACTTCTAACCGATAAATTTGAGTATTCTCATTACTTGTTTGCTGGATACTGTATGGATATTATAGGGAGAAGTTTCATGTTAATCGGTTGTGGGAGTTGAAGGGTAAATTGTAATCGTAAACACAATCATAATGTAGAGTTTTATAGTCTCAAAGAGACCTGTTTAGTTGCTTAATTTATTCTAACCCTCGAAGGATGTTTTTACCTCATAAATGAATAAATAGAAGATGCCTATTTAGCAATGTATAATTCTCTTTGTTGACTTTGATCTCTTTTTACTCCAACCTTTTCATTTCAGAGGCTGAAAAGTTTTTTTCAATTACACTGGCTAAAGAAAAACTTTCTCCAGCAGCAGAAATAGAGCGTACCTTGCTAGCAGATAAGTTCAGAAAGTTAAAAACCCAACTAGGATTGCAAAATGAATTACCTAGTGGTGGCAAAGCACCTCCACGTCCACCGAAGGGTGCAGTTCCAATGCCAGCACCAGTACCTGTTGCCAATGATGACCAGGGTGGAGATGAACTCTATGATGATGTGGCTGGTACTAATTTTTCCAGTGTATTGCATAACATCTAAGTGTAACAAGGGCTGTTCTTGACAAATTTAACCTACACTACAAATGTAAGACAGTTCTTGGATGCTGTAAGGGGATGTTACTTAATTGTTACTTCTCAGAGTGAGAAAGATATAGGCTGAGGTCAAGGGTTGTACTCAAAGGTGAGGAGTTTTGAAAAAAAGGGTTTAATTTGATTTCACTGTATTCTGCAGCTGTAATAGCACAGGATGATCAATACTATGAAATGAGCCAAGATGCCGAGGGAAAAGAGGTACCATCTTCAACAGCTACAGATACAGGTGGTGAGAATTATGAGGTGATGTCAGCTGAGCAGGAAAGTAAGGCACAAGGTGGTGAAACTGCTGGTGAAGACTACATGGCTATGGAGGATGATCTACACCAAGAAGATTATGTAGAACCTCAAGCAGAGAACACTGCAGATGAGGATTATGAAGTTCCAGAACAAAGTGTCAAGCCTCCAGCTCCAGCTGAGCAAGAAGAGAACTATGAGATCCCAGGTGCTGATGAAAACTACGAAGGTATTGAGGGCAGCAAATACTTTGTTATTAGTAGTGCTAATTAACTCATTAAGTTGGTGTTAACTGGAGAAAAAATATGGTTGTAGATACAGTCAGGGTTACTGAGAAGCTGAATGTCAACCATTGAATAGTGGAAAGTGGAAAGAAGATCTTTTGTAATCTGATTCCTGTTTTGTTTGCAACGGTAACAATTTAAAGTTGTGTTGTAATTGTCACAGGATCAAGAGAGGGGACATCCCCAGTCTCCTAATCTCAATCAACAGGAAATGAAAAAATCCTGACCATTAAAAATCTCTGATTAGTACATTCTTTTTCTGATTCCACCAACACCACTAAAAGAACTATTATTTTTCATGATGCTTCAAACCTTTTGGAAAGCTTGCATACAATATTCTGCAATTTTGAATGGGTTAGAATCAAAGGCTGATGTACAAACCCTAGGCAGATGAGTACATGAGTACTCAACTGTAGAATTCTTTTGTGATACTCATTGTCCTTATACCACACTGGTCAGTCTCCCATTTGAATGATTCGCAACACAGGGTGGTCTTCAACCAATAGTCTAACATAACTGTCTCCTCAAAACTGATATTGCACCTGAAAACAGATGGGTAAAGGTGACAAATTAGCATCTTAGACTCTACTGGAAATTTGCATTAATCAGCATATGATTCAAGGGAGAAAAGCATTATTTGTACATCTTAGATATACATGGACTGGTATCTATGAGGACTGTCAGCAACCTCCACCAACTCTTTCCCTGGCTCAATTGACCAACCTAACAATAATAATAATACAATACTACCACTAAATGATAATAGGAGTTGTGTGGTTTGGTTACAGACACAGACCCTTCTGGTCCAAAAGACACAGATGTTGAGATGTATGAAGGTATTGAACCACCAGAAAGTGTAGATGGAACTGTCAACTGGAATCAACTAAAACAGAGCACAAGTCCTGAGAACATTCAAGGTGTCATTATAGGAGGTGTGGATTAGATTCTCTTCACAATAATAAAATTTGTAGTTTGGTTGTGAGCTCGAAAAATTGGCAGTGGGTTGTGACATAAGCTTTGAAGCCCTTGACCTTCTGATTTTATCCTTACATGGCCACCTCTGATGCTCCACTTCTGACTGTTATTAGTCACCCTTTGAACAACCAGGCTCAGCTGGAGTATAAATTATTTACTGGTGCCTATCAAGGGAAATTGATGACGTGCCAGGGTGGGGAGTGAGGGGATAAGCTGTGATGTACCAGCATCCCATTCATAGGAGGAAGGCACATTCTTAAGTACGTCATTCTACAAAAGTTGGGACAAGCTCCGACAGGGACTGGGCCAGTAAGCATCACACGAGATTACTGTGTGATGGATGTCCTCCCCTGGGGTGGGATGGGTGGGAGAATGGACTAGCACGAATGGTTCCCATGTTCCTTTCTAGTCCTTGTCCACTGCAAAACTTAATGCAGTGAAAATGGACTAAATTAAATTAAGCTCTAGCGTCGACTGTGCTACATCATCTGGGTTTGATCATAACCTTATTTTTCTCTGCTGCTCAAATATCATGTTTCCAAATACATTCAAACTTTGAAATGCGAACCCGAATTCCAAAAAATCGTTTCAGAAAACAAATTTGAAACTCTTTTGCCTGTTTTCTTCACCTTTAGCGAGTTACATGCTGTTTGATGTATGCGAAGGTGGGAGAGTTTGGCACCATTGGGTGACACTGAATCGGCATCAAAGATCACATAAATATCCGATGCTACACAGAAATCTCCAGTTAAATTTCCTTGTACTAACATACTGTAAGTCGATGTCCCTCGAAACCGGATCCTCTCTTGTCGGAAACTTCGAGGGTCGTGGCTCGTGTCGGGTTTCGAGACGTTTGAGATTTGACTCGAGTTTCGAGACTTTTGAGACTTTCGATACGAAAAAATATTTCTCCTTGAAAACCCTGGGGCATTGGTTTACATTATTTACAAGCACAATTCTGTTCCTCTTATTATTTTGACTGTATTATCAAATAACAAAACTAATTCTTAAAATTTGATGTAGTAGTTTTGATCGGTAAAATTATTTTCTTGTAGGTATTTTGAACAAACGTCGCAAGGAAGGAAAGGTGTATTTGGGGAGTAAGTTTCAGAAGAGGTACTGTGTGGTGCGTAATCACGCGATGTACTACTTTAAGGACAAGAAGGCCAACAAACAACAAGGACATATCTTGCTGCCAGGTTATAAAGTACAGCTAGACAGCAAGAAAGGACGAGAGTTTCATCTCACACATTCGGGTGGCCAGAGGACTTACCAGGTACAAGTGTCAGACCCTCAAAGTCCATTTGTTAATTACGTTAACTTTCTAAACTGAAATTTTCGAAAAAATTTTTTCCACTCAAGTGTCGTGAAATTATGAAACGAACAGTTATATGTCTTGTTGAAGATTACCATACAATAATTCAGTCCGTTATGGCTCGAACCCGAACTTTTCGATGAGATGCGAAGTGCATTAGCGACGAAGCCCCCCTTAGGCCTGCCCGTCTCCTGCTTAAACATACGAGATGTTCCGTCGCAATCGCTGGACTTTTTTGAAATCGAAAAAGAAAAAAGTTTCGTAGTGCATTTTAAACTTTACTGATTTATGTAGCTGATCTGCAGAGGGCGACATTTCTATTGTTCTCTCCTTTCTTAGTTTGAGGCAAACAATAAAGAAGAAGCAGAAAAGTGGATGAAAGCCATTCAGAGGGCTTGTGATGCTCCGCTGTCTGATCATCAAAGGGCTGAATTAGAAGAACTCCGTAACAGGCAAACCTCAGGAGATAATGACAGCCTTCACTATGTCCCAGTTGAAGCGGGACAAACGAAGAACGAAAGTGTGGAAGAAGAAGAGGAACTGTATGATGACACTCAAGAAGATTTATACGAGGCAGTAGAGACCGTTCAATCATCTGTGTCAAACCAGCCTTCTCCAGGACCCACACAAGAACTGGTTGACTACGAAGTTTCTCCCTCGGCTGTCCCTTCAAAACAAGCTCCGCTTCCTCCTTCTCCGGGTTAGTTAACAGCATATAGTATCATGGCTCTTTGAAAGTCATTTGTTTTCACAGAGAAAAGTCGCCCCTTACGATTACCAGCCTGCATAAGTTCATCAACATCTTTTTATTTTTCTTTTCACTTCAGGCGAAGTCAAAACAGTCGAACCCATACAAGAAGAGGAATACGAACTACCTGAGACATCTGCACCTCCACCACGACCCATCAAGACAGAACCCATGCCACCCATCCCCAGCGGAGACAATCCACCAGAGGTACCCCCCCCTCGACCTTCCAAAGGACAGCTACCCATCCCTCCTGTCTCTCCTGCCCCACCTGCCCCTCCCGCACCGCAGCAAGATGACATGTATGAAGTTGCTGGACCGGACGCCCCTAACGACACCTCAGACTTACCGCCTCCCCCACCCCCTGTGTTAGAGGAAGAAAATTACGAAGTTCCCGATAATGAAGCTCCTGCTCCACCCCCGATGCGTCCTCCCAAAAGACCTCAACCCCAGACTCCTAAACCGCAAGCCATTCCTCTAGTGGAGTCACGTGAGTTGCTAATTTGTCTTTTGATGTACCTGCTCTCTCGGTATGAAGTTGGTCTGGCTCGTTAAATTCTGAAAAGAAGTTGTGTTCAGCTGGAGTGGAAAGGGTAAATCAGGTCACAAGGAAATCTACAAAAATTCAGTCTAGTACGTCTTGGTACTCATTAGCAAAATTATCATGAATTTGCGGTGCTCAATCCTGTTACTCTCAAGATCTGATTGTTAATTCCCACCCCCACAGCTGCTACAATTGTAAAGTAATGACGAGAATGTGGTGTCAGATCAAGAAAACAGCTACTACCTAATAATTTTGAATTTTCTCATTACCTGTTTGTTTGATAATGTAGGGATATTATAGGTAGAAGTTACCTGTTAATTACTTCCGGGAGTTAAAAGGCTAATGTACTGAAAAAAATCTACATTTTCTTTTCATTGAACAGCAGCAGAAAAAGTTCCCGAGCGACCCTCAAAGCCGGTTGCTAAGCAACCACCTCCTGCACCTAAACGGAAAGTTGAACCACCCGCGAGTCCTGCAGAAGTTCAAACGATCGAAATCAACTATGCTAACATCTACCAAGCCCTGTGGACATGTGATGCAGACGACAAAGATGAACTGGCATTCCGGCGAGGTGACCTGATTTATATTTACGAAAAGCCGCATAACGATTGGTGGATCGGGTCTTTGTTCAAACCTCAGGGATATAGTGTAGGTCTGGTGCCGAAAAAGTACGTCATGGAGGCGTACGAAATGACCGCCTAAAGTTAGCTTGTAAAACAATTTTCTACGCCTTCTTCTTCAACTGAGCGTCTCTTGTTAGTGCAAGTTTGTTGCGAAACCCAGTTCAACCAATGAGCGAAATCGGAATATTTTTCTGTATTTTTTTTTTTTTTATTCTGGTGCCTTTCACGCTTTCGAGAGAAAAACATAGTTTACCATCGGATGCTATGTATCTATGACCATGGATTAGTGAACAGGTTTTTTTTTTTACAAGGGATGGACTTTTTAACTCTTATATATTTCCTTAAGTAAACCGGAGATGATGTTAAAAAGGAGTATAATGATTCTCGCAGTTATATTCGCCTCTCCTCCTTGTGAAGATGTGTGAAAGCGTAAAATGTAGTAAATGCATGGCAAAAGTAAAACGGCGAAACAAAACAAAATCCAATGACCAAGCGATTATAGAAAAACTCAGTTTTGTATTTAGAGCATTATAATAGTATTTCTCCAAATAATTTTTTAGAAAGAAATCTGTATCAGTGAGGAACAAATAGTTCTTAGTTAGTTTTCTATAAAAACAAAGAGGACCTAAGAGAGTCATTGAAATTCCAAACGGCTGTCGAATTTTTTATAATTTTACTATCAACCATCATAGAGCGGAATCTACTTCTAATTAGAAGTTTTATTTAACAAATCTGTGTTACTCTCAAATATTATTACATATAGTAAAGAATACAGGTGAGTACTTCTTTGGAGTATGTAATAAAGTGAGCTACAGACAAGTTGAGTTGGTTCAGTCGTTCAGAAAATCCTTCTAAGTGCACTTGGTGTTTGATCAGCATGCGGCACTTTCGGATGGCTGAAGTAATCGTTTTAGCCAATACAACAAAGAAAGCGTTGATAGAGAGCGTACAGCGCATACGGGTTACTTGAACGATATCAACTAATCATATTGTAAGAAACAAAAATGTTCCAAATCAATTGTATTATTAAGTGCTAATAAACAAAGCAAGGGAAAGTAACACGACAAGACACAGTACCGAGCAAGGTCGCTGCAGAGATTAGCTTTCTCACTGACACGTGGAAAATTTTTAAGAAAATCTTCACCTGGGGGGAAATTTAAACTGGTTTGAACGGGTGGTCAGTAATCGCAGCGAAAGAGTGAATCTCATCAACTTGTTGTGGCAGCAATACGCATGAAGCCGTTTGTCAAAGCGACGTATCACCAGCAAAGTCCTCACAGTACTTAAAGATGGCTAAATTCAGAATCATGGTCATCGTCACTGGTGATGTCATTGAGAACGTCATCTTTACTCCTTTCGCCATCTCTATCGTGATGAGAGTTTTCCATACTGGAACCTGGTTTAGTCCCTGTTGCTGCATTCTTGCTTGTTAGACGTTTCGATTTCCAGATTTCATAAAATGTCCGGAAACCCTTCTGCTCAACGAAGCGGAATCTTTTCAACTCCACCACACGGTCCGGCATGTCATTCTGAAATTAAACAGAGGCAATATTAATGAAACCGGGTACCTCGACGGATGCAACCTCGTTCCGACATCTTCAATTTATAAATTTATTTACCTTCCTACATTTATCACCCATGAGTCGAACATTAGGGTCACGAAAATAGTGAAAATGATTGCCAACGAAAAAAGCCCTTGACTGTTTAACAAATTCTATTTGTCAGAAATAGGAAAGGTACAGAAAACAACATGGTCAATATGCATAACGAAATGAGGGTGTAAACGGTGAAGGAAAATTTGATGTGATGCTGACCCACCAAAATATATTTACTTTTATTTACTTTTCCTTCTTGTTTGCTGCATGTCAGTGTGTCCAACTTACTTCAAATCGATATAACAAGTTCAAGCTTCTCACTGAACCATCAAACAATTATTAAATGAAGACATAAAGGCCATGGTGTTTTTAAACAACAATTTCTCTCGAAAATTGATAAATGGGATAATTCATACTAACAAAGAGGTAAGTTTCGGAAGAAACTGATGCCGCATCAATGAAGCGTTTTATTAAAGTTTTTGATTTCATCATCTGAGTTGGTAATGTACATAAACTTTGGGCACTTGAGAGAGTTTTTAACAATGAGGTTTCGAGCATTAGCCCTTCCTCAGAGCAATAGGGCTCTGACGAAGGGATACTTTATAATAATCAGTGACTATATAAAACAATTTAAGAAGAGAAAAATTAAACTGATTACTGCTCACCGAGATGTTAGGTTTCTCACAGGGTAAGCTGTACATCCTCTCCAGTATCTTTGTCATCCTAGCACTGGGTCGCACATCGTCCTTTGTCATTCTCTGATGAAAGAACCATAGCATTACAAAATGAGGCAGTCAGGGATAGAAAGGCTCAGAGAAACATACACAGACAGAAAACAAAAATGAGATCCATTTAACTGAAAATAAGCAGGATCCTTTTTTCTGTACTATGGTGCAGTCATCTCAGATCCAGTATTCTAACCTTTTATAAGGCCCTGAAAGGCCAGTACCTTACAAAATTCCCTGAGCTGTTTTGCACCAACATGAAAGTTTCTGCCCCTCTGCACATGCACCTCACAAAGACAGAGTGAAAGAAATAAAAGAAACCAAAGAATGCAGTCAAACCAATGGCAAGACAGATAAAACAATAGAGACAGGCAGACACAGGAACAGAGGCAAGGAAAAACAGATCAGGGTTACCAATAGAAAAGAACAAGTGTAAAAAGAAGACAGAGTGGCCCCTTCTGCTATTTCTCAATACAATACAATACAGTATTCTTTATTTAACGAAGGTGACGTAATTAACCCAATGAGTTATCTAACTTACGGCCTTCACAACAATACAAACCCACCATCCCAACCCAGGGGAGGACATCCATCACACAGTAATCTCATGTGTGGGAAATTAACGTCTCCCACCCCTAACCCTACAGGAGACGGGACCTCAATTTATTTGTCCCTATCCCAGAAGACTAGAATATCTAACCATTTCTTGATGTTATAGAAAGGTAGCAAATTCTTCTCAAAATATTATTTTAAGACCTTGAGTGTTGGTCCGGCCGGGACTGGAACTCTCTACCTCCCGCACAACAGTCCAGTGCATGATCCATTGGGGTAACTGGGCGGCGGTCTCATATCCAAATGTGACGTTGGATCCTAAAAAATTTGAAAGCAACTCCCCTTACTAGACCAAAACCCACTTGTCCATCTGGGTTTTGTGAGTTACAGCTGACAATGGTTCCAGTACTAATAAGAGATTTACAATACAAACCTTCACTAACTTGACCAAGTAAGTGAACTGCCGCAGTTTAGCTGCACCTGCTATCAGTGTCCCATACACAGACTGTCCAGCTGTGATTCCCTCAGCCTAACATGGTAATTCAGAGGTAAAACGAAACAATAATCAATGTTTACTGAAAGTGACAATAACTTCCTTTCCCATTGTAGTTTGATCTAGTCACCAACTTACTCTTCCCCCTCCCAGTCCCCCCTCCCAGTCCCTCCTCCCAGTCCCCCCTCCCAGTCCTCCCATGGCCATTGGTGGGCTGGAGAGTGTTATGTATGGCAAGACTGAAACATGGCTGCAAAGGAGACTACACGTAAAGGTGAAGCCAGCTTACAAGCCAAGTAGCCCATGGGGCTGGCGCAGACTAAGGGCATTACTATTCTCCCCTGGATAGAATGCTAGTCCATCACAGGGTTACCCCCAGTGAAGAGAGGCACTGTGAGAATAAAGTGTCTTATCCAAGAACACAACACCATGACATCACTCCGACGAAGGGCTAACGCTCGAAACGTCAGCTTTTGTAATCATTACGGTGGCCAATTTACCATTTCAACTTTGTTGATATATCCAAATGACATCGGCCAGGGCTTGAACCCAGACAACTTGATCTAGGGCCGAGTGCACTAACCATGAGGTCACTGTGCCTCCACAAAGGAGACTACAGGGCATCCTTTAATTCTGCATCTGATGCCCAACTCACATTTATCTGTAATTAATTTTCAAGCAGGCTATCACAATATTTGATGATCTTGAGCTTTGCATGTTTTAAGTACTGCATATTTACTCTCATGTTTATAACTTGCATGCAAAAATAACATTGCTATCCTTTCACGTACGTGTACATGTGAGTCGTATCTAACCGACTCATATCATTTTTATCAAAGTACTTTATGATGATATTTCAAACCTCCATGTCATCTAATAAAGCAAGTCCTTGATTCTGATTTCTACATCCACAAGCCAGAGCTTGGTAGGAAGCTTCTGATGGGGAAAATTTTAGTTTCTCCTGCAGTTGATTCATATACTCCTGTATTGAAATGCAAAAATGGTTACCTTTGAATATCACATTAATTAGTGTGTAAAGATAAAAAAAACAAATGTACCTTTGCCTGCTTAAGATCACCCTCTAAAGCCTTTGTCTTGATAATAGAGTGAAAAAAAATAGCATCTGGGGTAATTTTACAACTTTTCATAAGATTCATCAAATACCCTTCTTCTGATTTTGATGCTGTGAGGTGCAGCAGCATTTGAAAGGTGCGTATATCAGGATTAACATCCTCAAGAGCCATTATTTGGATAAACTTCTCCACACCAGGAAAGTAGTCCTGCAATTCTACACTCTTGTCATTCTGTTTTTCAAGCATGCTTACTTCCTGCAAATGATTCTCTGAGGAACTAAATTCATAATTTATTTCACTGTCTGATGTTTCACTGTCACCATCAAATCGAGTTTCATGTTCAGATGTTCTTTCACCTTTCACTGGACTCTTTGCATCCTTGGGCAGGCATAGAGTTTGTTTTTGCTGAGAAAGCTTAAAATTTCTCATAACTTTCAACACCGAATTGTAAATATAAATATTTGGCCGTAATCTAAACCACTTCATTTCCTCAAGTAGTTGAAAAGCCAGTCTAGGGCCTTCATCTGGATCGAGGCAACAGGCTGCTAATAATGATGTGAAGGTGTATTCATCAGGAACAAACTTGTTTTTTCGCATCTCCTGATACACATCAAATACTCTGTCAGGATTACCACAAACAGCAAAGGCCTGGATAGCTGCATTGTATGTAATAAGATTCATTTCCAGTTCATCTTTGGGAACTCTGAGGCTGATTTCAGTGTAAAGTTTTTCTACTCTCTCCAAAGTACGTTCTGTAACTTGAGCTTGAGTACAAGCATAGAACAAGCTTGAGTAGGTATACGCAGTTGGCCTCAGACCCCATTTCTTTACCTAAACAAGTGTAAGAAAATAAGGGTGATAAAAATATTCAAGCCATCTTCTTACTGCTACAAGATGTTTTCAGGCATGCTAGAGGTTTGCTGTGGATACTTTACAGAAGACCATACCCTATAGTGGTGATTACACAATCAGATCATTATGCAGGACTCCTAATCAAAAGGTCTAGTTCTGCTCCTTCACTGAGCCATTTTGGTGTGTTTTGGAGCAAGAGAGCAACTCAAAGTTGTCCTTCCCCCTCCCCTCCCCTCCCCTCCTCCCCCCATTACCAAGAAGTTTGCACAACAACCCGCCATGTAAAATGCTTTGGGGTAAGAAATGGCCAAGCATCACATCCAGGAGACAGAGGCAATTACTTCTAAAAGCTTCATTCTACTGAAACAAGGTTATCAGCTCTAGCAATAATGAGCCATCCGGCTAATCAGCTGACTTTATCTTACTATCTCCTGTGGAAAGCATAATCATGTAGAAGGTATATAGTCATGCAAAGAATCATTGGTTTTTAACATAAGAAGGAGCAGCACAATGATAGAATTTGATGAATGCCACTCTCTCTCCCAGTTAGGTTACATTTTACCGTCCCTTGTAGGAGTGAATTATCATTTAAAGGATATGGTTATTCTTGCAAAGTAAATGTGTTTCATAAACACTTAAGTTTATTAAAAAGGTGTTACTTACTGTTAATCTTTGTATTGTTGATTTTAGGAGTTTTGGAGCAACATATGTTTCAAAGTTGAATAACTAAGTCTTAAGAAATATAGTCAACAGAACACTTACATCATTGTAGAGTTTGAAAGCCTTCTTGACTTCCCTACTTTTTGCATATGCAGAGATGAAAATATTGTAAACTTCAATCTTGGGGTTAAGTTTGTCCTCTTTCATTGATGACAGGAGTTTAAGGGCATCATCAACCTGTAAAAATTGTCATCAATCAATAAGTTTCCCTACACCACAGTTGCTAATGACATCATTAAGCATGGAATGCCAAACAAGTGAATAAACAAACAAACTAGCAAAACTAATCAAATATATATATAACTTTCTATTCGACATACTGACCCTTATTAGAGGGAGTTGCCATCGATCTTACCTTGCCCTCTTGAGAAAGCCTCAACATTTGTCTTGCATACCAATTGACTTTTCCTTTGCGATCTATAGCGGCATTTTTTCTTTCCCATTGATTTTCTTCCTCCCCTGTAGCTCCAACTTCCCTAAACATATATCTAGAGGGTCGTAAAGACCCTTTTCCAGATTTCTGACTTTTCAGTTCCTTATATGAAATTCTATTCAGTTCCCCTTCGTCCTCAGTCTCCGGGTCAGACTCAGGATCATCCTCTTCTCTTAAAACCTTACGATCCTTTGAACGTGTTCCTGATATGCGATCGTCCCGAATATGGTGTGACCTCAGAAGAGATTTCGTTTTGTCAAAACCGAGCGCATGCCGTCTCGTTCCTGTTTGATTCAATTTTTTCGCCATTACAGACGAGGATTTAGAATACATCTGACAACCATTGAGGCTCAGTGACCTTCTCTGTGGATAAATGTGTGATAAGGGGTATCCAGATTCACTACATAGACGGACAAACCAATATACAGGTAATCTGTGATACCGCACTCTGCTCGCTGAGACCGCCATGTTGTATTTACCCGCTCAAGAGTATTTCCGCTGGATGATTGCATATTCTCATCCATCAACGCGAAGTGCCTTATGGGGTTTGATTGATTCTTCCATTTGTGATGGCATGCGAGAAGGCATGTTATGGTGAAGTCAGCATTCGATTGACGAGGAGGTCTACGACAAAAGTAAGCAATCCTTTTTAATCTGAAGAAAATTACGGTTAGGAAGAGTTTGAGGGTTCAATTAGACAGCTAGCACAACTTAAATACGAGTCCTTTTGCGATCAGCGGGGCCACGCCGGCCTGTTCTGATCCAGCGCGGTCTATGGAGATTTCCGTTTGTAGTATTTTAACTGGTAGATTTTAAAGCCTTTAGGTTCCACGATCATGTTCAAAACTAACAGCGTCTCGGATCATTTCGATTTCACTGTAACAAATCAAATTTTCTTTTCTCTTATATTAAAAATTGTTTATTTCATCTTTACATGCTCACTTTGGGGGCTGGTTGGCTGCATGTGATGCTTTAATGCATGTGATGCTTTAGATCATATGATGCTTTAGATCATATGATGCTTTAGATCATATGATGCTTTAATGTGACAGCGTGATGCTGTTAGTGAGCTTCTATGCGCTAGCTAATGATTGGCTGTGTAGGCACGTGATGCGGTTCCAGTCAATACCCACTAATTGACCCTTGCTCACCATAGAGTCTCCTGTAGCTCAGTGGTTAGAGCATCCGACTAGATCACGGAGGGTCGTTGGTTCAAATTCCATCTAGAACCTCGATTTTTTTCTCTTATATTACAAATCACTTCATTTTAAATATTAACTGTTTTCCTTTATTGTCTGCTGTGACAAATCACGATCCTAACCGGTTGACCTTGTGACGCGCACTTCCGGTCTCTGGTGCTTACTAAAAAATATAACGGGAGATGCTCCAAAAATGTAACTAAAAAATTTAGATTTTCATACCATAATAACCTTCGATGAACTCACAAGTTCATTCCATCTTTTGTAGCATTAAGCGACCTAGAATATTTTACACCCCTCCTAGATAGGATGCCTATCCATCGATTGAATGTTAGCCCCCACCCTACCGCCCTCAGCGTTCAGTTTTTCAGAAATCCTTAATGACTTTCCGTTACCGTTATAAAACTCCTAACAGAGAAGGAAAGCGAGAGAAACGTGTCTTTCTCGAAGAAAGAAAACAGAACGATTCGGGTAGAGTTCAAACTCCCGCCTTTCGTTTCGGAAATTGGTGCGGACTCTATTCTTGCAAGAATACTGCCTTTTGGTTTGAGAACTTCTTTATCGCAAAATATTTTTTTCTGGAGATTTTAAAATGAGATTAAGAACGTGTCTGTGTAAGAATCAAAATGAAAATCTTTTAACCCCCTTTCAAATTTTGCATGCAGTTAGG